GGAGTTCTATCCGACTGGTGTGACTACGCGGGGCCAGACGATTGTACTAGGACACTCATCTGGGGCAGTTTCATTTATTTCGGTTTAGTTCATTTACAGTCATAATTCAGACATGATTTTCCTAGGTTAAGAGCCACGACTCTCCTAGTAGTATGATCACATGATGCAATATCGTAAAGCCATTTCCCTTTCCTTTGCCTAGCTCGCGACAATGGTGAACCGGGTATTTTGAACCCGTGACTCCGTTATCTTCTCTGTGCCCATGGGAGCCTTCTCATCTTCCCCTACACTGTTAGCATGAACAGCCTGAGAAACCTTCATGTTGACAATTTGCTCAGCCGACTTGATAGTGGCCTGGGCGCTTTCGATACACCTGTCAGCTCCGCAAAGGGCCTCGTCTACCGCCTTTTTGATCTCGTAGTAGTACATCCACGACTCTGAAGCGAGCGAGATCCTCTTCGTTCGCTCTACGATCTCTTCGTCTAGCGGGAGATTCTCCTCTCGTAACGTCACTTTGATACTAGCATACTTATCTATCAGTCCGTAGAGGCTCTTGTAATGCGAAGACCTGATCGAATCAAACAACTCCAGTGCATCGGCTAAATTCCTTTTCCGTGACCAGGCCCAGTCGAGCATCGTGGTTAACGCGTACCCGTCTTCTAACGCAAATCCGCAGCCGTTGCCATGCGATACAATGCGTTGCAGGCGTTGGCCAGAAAATAAAGCAAATTCCTGTGTCTCTCCTTTGGCGGCAAGACACAGGAGCTGTCGGATAGGCAAGCAAAAGTCATCATACTCGTGAAGAAGAGTATGCAGATCGAAAGGCCGGCCCCAGCTGACCACGTCGTGATTTGGTCGACGAATTCGGGCCGTCACCTCGAATTCGACGTTCCTAAGTGGACATGTAAAGACATATAAGCCGCTAATGTGCTTCCAAAAAGTCGGAGCCCAGGGAATGCCATTGATCTTCATGACCTCAGCCTTGCGAACGATGGTGCGGTAAACGCATTGTCCGTTGTAACGAAGCTTGTAATCTGGAAATTTGAATTGGCGAATGACCTGGGCACACAATCAGTTTTCTTCTTGCCATACATTAGGACTTTAACCGCCCTACCGATCTGATACCGTCCGCGCCAATCAGCAGGTCGACTTCATTGACAAAGCCATCCTCAAACACGATACGAATCCGATTGTTTAGGAGATGTTCCACGCCAATGAGACTCATTGCTACATGGACATGTGTCTTGTCCACGCCCTTTAATAACGCAGATTGGAGCTTGGCCCGAACAAGGCGGCAAGTCTGGCGATTGGGAGGTACGTCTTCCAGATTGTATTTCGTGACCAATAGTTTTCCACTCCTTCCATTCCTACCAAGTCTGAATAAGCACTGGATCAGCGACAAAAAAGAGTTTAACAGTTACCGACGCTGCTCAATCAGTCCATCGGGACGAAAAAATCTTCAGGGAAGATGGTTTTGGCTGCACCATTGTGCTCAAGTAGCATCCAAGTGTTTGGTTGCAGTGAAATCCCGCCCCCGTCTCACTTATCTGTGGCTTTTTTCTATATAATTCCCAGTCCACGAAAGGCAGCTTTGCAAGTTCAAGGGCGGCGCCGAGACCTCCAGGACCACCCCCTACAATGGCGACTTTAAGTCGCCTATCGTTCTGATGCGCAGTCATTAAACACACTTAAAATCTCTTCCCCGTCCGTATATCGCGTTCCTTGAGGTCAGACTTGCTTTGTTTGTAGAGTGCTTCGACAATTGCGTTGGACGATAAACACCGTAAATTGCTGATCAGGCTTAGTTGTGTGATAGAGGTCAGCTTCATGAAAAAGACAGATATACGAGGAGACTTGATGGTCTGAATCGGTTCGCCAGGAGAGAGCATAGTAGCAGTCGTAGCTTAGACTTTAACTCCTAGCTACCAAGTCCCGCGTCGATGAAAGTACGGGATCGTAGATAGGCCACAAGCATTTTTGTCCCGTACTAGCTCCGTTACTGTTTGGAGTTGTCACGTACGGCATCAACATGACAGTCTTTCGTTGGAACGGCGACAACGACTCGGAAGGCTTGATGGAGATTTGGGTACCACGACGGTCCAGCACAAGGGCGAAATTTCCGGCCATGCTCGACGGTTTGGTTGGCGGAGGATTGGCTACTGGGGAGACACCGTGGACGTGTCTGATCCGGGAGAGTGAGGAGGAAGCATCGCTAGGCGAGGAACTCGTCAAAACCGCTAAAGAAGCTGGCACTGTGACATACTTCTACATTTCGGGCGAGGGATCTGGCGGCGAGATCGGCTTACCCCAACCCGAGTGCTCGTACGTATTCGATCTAGACCTGACCGGTTCGCCGCCAGACGTCCTAATTTCAAACGACGGCTCGGTAGAGGCCTTTGAGCTGTTGACAGTGACGGAGGTTAAGCAGGCGTTGTCCCGTAACGAGTTCAAGCCGAACTGCGCACTAGTGATGCTGGACTTCCTAATCCGTCATGGACAGCTCACGGCAGAGGACGAGCCAGACTATAAAGAGATCTGTTTGCGGATGCATAGAAACTTGGGATTTCCCTTGCGCTAATCGTTAAGTTAGACAGCAAATAGTTTGAGAAAAAAGGATGGGTCTATCAAATGTTACAGTTTAGTTTAAACGTACATACCAAAATGCATGTCACACTCTATGAGGGAATGATTAGGTGACTTTCATACACATTAGTAGTTGTTAGACAGCGAAGGCAGTTTAAGCATTAATATTAAACGCGTAATATAGCAGTCATAGAAAGTCTAAATATCGGTTTTGCTAGTTGTTCTACTACGCCTCGAGATACTTATCCACGGTAATTACAACCTTGAACATTATATATTTCGAATCGAAGTGCTACAGATTTCAGAAACCCTAGACTTTAAAACTCTAAGCGTTCTGCTTACCTCCTGCACAGACTGGAATTTGAGACGAGAGAGAGTTAACAGTCATGCAACGCTTTCTAGTGGGATATTAGTTTAGTACCAAATTTTCCAATGTGGTTCATAGATTCGGCTTGACGGCTGAGATCATCAAATGCATATTAACCGGCGTCAACGGCTTCTGTCCCTTCAACAGCGCATCAATGTTCCTCATCGCCAACTCCTCAAACCCGATATGCCTACATTTGTCAACTTTAATGTCCCCACGGTATGGCACGGTAAACTTACGTCTGCAGCGTTCCCCCCGCATTATGCGCCGTAAGCGTAACCTGTTTAAACGCCTTCAACCTCTCATTAACCATCGGCTCATTCTCATGCACATCCATCCCAACACCCACCAACCTCCCCTCCTCAACCGCATCCGCAACAGCCTCCTCATCCACCAAACTCCCCCTCGCAATATTCACCAACCTGCTCCCAACCTTCATCTTATCCAGCCTCTCCTTCGTAATAAGCTTCTTCCCATCCGGACTCGCCGGCGTCGAGATAACCACACAGTCGCTTATCCCTAGCATCTCATCGAGCGAGGACACAAACCGTGCATCGATTTCTGCTTCGCGCGTGTTGGGTTTCCGGAGCACGTCGTAGTAGATGATCTTCATGTGGAACGCGAGGTACGCTTTCCGAGCTATCTCGAAGCCGATATTACCCAGGCCGATGATGCCCAGGGTGTGGCCGTGGGGATTTTGGGATAAGGCTGCGGCGTGTTGGTGGCAGTCTTGGAAAGCAGCTGGGGAGTCCCGTGCGGATGATGTGCACCAGTGTAGGTTCCGGAATGTTGCTAGGATGTGGAATAGGGCGAAGTCGGAGACGGATTCCGAGGATGCAGCGGCGCTGGGAAATGTTAGATATCAGATTCTTGAGGGGGGAGATGCCGTACCCGTTGCAGTATACGATTCCTGTATGTATTCAGCATTTACTAACCCTAAGCTTTCGGTGAAGGGGGGGAGACTTACCTCTTTGTGCCAGAATATTAACATTAACCCAGTCGAACCCGGCTCCAGCAGACGCAAATATCTTACAAGATTGTGGGATTAGAGGAATGAGTTCCTTGTCCCAATTTCCCATTTCCCCTCCCGTGTTCCAAAAGGGTCTAAATATTGCAGCAAAATTCCCCCACTTCTTCTCCTTCAATGACTTCATGAATTGATCTCGTTGTCTCTCTTCGAAAGAAGGACGGACAACGGTGAAGTCTTTGGAGAATCGAGCGTAGAGTTCCGTATTCCACTTCACAGGGTCCCCAATGTGAAGCACAATTGGCTTTTGCCAAACTTCTGTTGCCATATTGAAGAAAGGGTACAAGGGAGGTGAAATATCTATAAGACTCCGGGTATGTATGATTAAGTTCAAGTTTTGTAGAGAAAGAGTTGAGATGAAAGAAGGAGAGAAACGATTACGGGTGAAGGTATTCGGTTCAAACTCTTATCCCACTTGTGGTCTACGTAGTGGTACGCCAAGCACTGGGGTAACCACTCGGAAAACATGAAAGTGTATGCGTGGGGTGAGATGCAGCTATCCCTGCCGTGAAGAACCCCTCGGATGCTCCCCGCAGAGTGATGGCGGTGGGGATGGGCCGGTAGTGGTGTTGCAATCTATTCTATTCATCCAATTAAGGTCTTCTTGTCGGAGAATAGAGTTTCCATCACTGATCGAACATACTCGCAATTAGAGCTTGAGGTCGAGCATCTAAGGTAGGTATTTTGGAGGTCTGGGGTTGGGACGAAGCTAGCGAGGAAGATATAAACTTGGCGGGTGCGGGGTACTGCACTGCGAATCTGTTTTCTTACAGGAACAAACATTCACACCACAAGTATAACAATGGCGACAACAACACCAGAAGCTGCCACAGTGGCAGAGATAACACAGAAAGCAGGTCTACCAACCCTGCACCATCTTGATGTTTGTCCCCCAGCCCAACGCGTGCCCTTCCCTCCAGCTTAATTGACGCGTCTGCAGCACTCCCAGTCCCAGCGCATGATCTGGCTCCTCGAAGAGCTAGGCATCGAATACAACCTCGTCAAATACAAAAGAATCGACAACCGCGCACCGCCCGAGCTCGCAAAGATCCACCAGCTAGGCAAAGCGCCCATCCTCGTTACCGCAGACGGACGCCCCATCATCGAGACTTCAGCCATCGTATCCTACCTCCTGAAAACCTATGACCGCGACGGCTTATTCGCGACAGACGACTGGCTGCGCGAGGAGATGCTCAACTCGTTTGCAGGCTCATCGTTGGGGCCCGTCACTGGCATAGCATTACTCACTGAATTGCTGCCGAAACATAGCCCGTGGCCCATTTCGATCATTATGAGGATGGTGCATGGGACGGTGCAGAAGACGTATACGAATGGGGAGTTTACGAAGGCGATGAAGTTCTTAGATAGCGAGTTGGGGGATAAAGAGTGGTTTAATGGCGAGAATCTTGGGAAGAGTGATGTCATACTGAGTTGGCCGTTGGATATGATTGTTCAGAGGGGTTGGGTTGATTTGGAAGGGGATTGGCCAAGGTTGGCGGCGTGGAGAAAGAGGATATTACAGAGGGATGCTTGGAAGAGGGGGATGGAGAAGGGGAATGGATATGATTTGAAGGTTTGGTGATGGGTGCGGGACGGGCGCAGGCACCATGAAATGTGCGATCGCTTGAGAGATACCCTTGCTTTGGCGTTCGACAGATACTATGTTCATAGCATGCTTTAATGCTTAAGCTTTGCTTGGTATTTCCATTTTCGCAATTTCTTCTATCTTGTCAAGCTCATTGGAGAGGGTCAAGGTATCAAATGCTGAAGCAGGGCCGCCCTTACCAATTTCTCCAGACACGATTGCCGCTTGAGCAGGTGTTTGGTCTCCAAACCAACTAGCAAGGTCAAGTCTCCTCTGCTTAATCTTGCGTAACTCTCGTTCCAGAGAAGTAGTTGAACACCATCAACATCAAACGCTGTGGCTTATGATGGATGGGTCTTTCTTCGCGACGACTTCAAAATAAATCTTCTCTCTGGACAGGTTCGATTCTCTGCAGAAGATATAAGTCTCATGTAGCGTTTAATTGTCCTCGGAACCTCGTTAGTTGCGCGGCGCGGTAGATTTGGCTCCATCTTCTAGTATCAACATTGCCAACAACCCATGTTGCTTGGTTGCTACACGCACCACTATTACAATATTAGCAAGCCTATAAGTTTAAAGGGCCAAGCAGCTATTGCAATACATTCGTTGCTCATCTTCATACTCATTCTAGATCAGAAGAACTTGACTCGAACTTCAGGCACAACACCTCACATTTTAAGAGCAATGTTAGGCAATGGGAACTATAAAAGTATGCCTAATATATCTGGATCAGGTAACTCAAAGTTTCAAATATGAATTCCTAAGCAAATAAGCAGATTCATTATTGCATGAATGTTGCTGAACCGAAATGTGCTAAGATCACAAAAGGGGTTCGCTTATAATGGCAAAGGATCCTACCTACCTTCAGCATCTTCTAGGATGAGAGGCTTTGCACTTTAAACATTGTGGTACAAGCCGGAGGAATCTTTTGAACAAGATATGGTTATAGCTAATACTTACTTTTCTCCTCGACGTGATAAATTTTGGTTTAGATCAAATCGAAAGTCAGGTAGGTAGTTATACTACCAAACCACCTCTCTACAGATAGCATCTTAGTCTATATAAGACTAGCTTTGCATCCTAGCAAGACCGTCTCAAGAAAAAGCAAATCAACCCTCAAGATTTCCATCCTAAGCATTACTTTAGGAAGCTCCACTTTCGCTTAACAACGACTCTATACACCACACACACCCCGCTTAAGTCTACCTATGTAAGCGGAATGGCAAAAAGTTATGAAGAATACTAATGGAGTCGAACCATCTATATTTTCAATCCAGATGATCAGATCTGGCTGCCATTTTATCAGAATGGCGGTGCTGGGAATCGAACCCAGATTGAAACGGGTCAGCATGAATAATCCTAATATAGGAGCACCACAACGTCACGTGCTACCATTACACCACACCACCTCAGCTCGCTGTTTTGATTGGTTACTGCTTCTTTTTTAAACTATATACTCCCTTGTGGAAGGAAATATACTCTGTAAGTTGGCCGGGACCTGTTGTGGGGGTTTGGGTTTGCTGGATGGGCCAAAAGGGGTTTAGCTCAAATATCTTACCGGGAGACGCAGATCTTGGCAAAATCAAGGCTTTACCTTAAGACGCTAGGAGCTACACCTGGAAATCCTTCTTAAGAGGTTAATTGTTTTCATATGCTATATTAGGTTTTGCTTCTGCATTGCTTTCTACAACCGACGCTAGATGCAGATCACAGCTTGTGGGTCTACCTATGGTTGATTCAACTAGGTTAAATATCAATGTGCTACTGGTAGGTAATACTATCACTTTAATAAGCTGAGGCTTAGATTTAACTAAGTATTTAAATATATCATGTTGCATCCTTATGTAATTTGGTATCTCCTTTCTGTACTTTCGAACGCCTGCTTTTAAATCCATTAGAAAGAAAACCCAAATTTTAGATTCCGTATATGATATCCAACGCTCTTCAGCTACGACCCAATCTACATCGCCGCCGTGTTCCTCGAGACAACAGCCGTTGAAGTTCCCCGTCCTACACTATCAATAGCCTCTTGCCCTTCCCCTTCCTCTTCCCTATCCCCCTCATCCTCCCACCCCTCCCTCTCATCCCTCTTCATCCCCACAAAAGCAACATCAACCACCAACGCAACCAACTTCCCACCAACAAGCACAAAAGTGCCCTGCGTCAGGGGGGTACGAAGCAGCGACCCAATTCGCCTGTCCCGGGCCTGTTTTCACGCCTAGAAGCGTGCTGAATTCTAGACCGGCCGAGAGGCCGACGATGTTGGATATCATCTTTTGGAGGTTAGATTAGTTTGGATCGAGGTCAAGTTGTAGTAGAATAATATAAAGTAAAGTAAAGTAAAAGTAAACTCGATAGGTGAGAGTGAGAGTAAGAGTAAGAGTGCGTGCTAAAAGGAAGGAAACAAACAAACAAGAAAAGCACCTCACTCCCGGGAAAGAAAAGAAAGAAGGACAAAATCTCACCTGCACAAAGTTACAACTAACAATAAGAACCAGTATAGTAAGTTTCCTCACATCCCCCAGGTCATGAAAAGATTCCCGTTCAAACACACGCGTGCTACTCGCCGGGTCGGGGCCGAGAAATAACGGGGATTCTTCTATGACGGGCTCGTGTACAGGTTGTATTGGATGAAGTGGATGTGCAGGTAAGGTGAATCGGTGCAGTGAGTGCTTCTCTGGACTCACATGTGAATTTCGTGCTCCAAACCCGTATGTAGTGAAGTTGATAATCATATATACCCAATTATTTTCTGACCTGTAATCCCACACACATCATAACCCACTAAATACTCCATGTGACACGACCCTAAGAAGCCCTCTGCGCCTCGAAGCTTTTCAAAATCCGTCCAAACATACAACACATCCTCCAGCATCCCATCTCCGTTAGCGCCGCACTAGCATTGCGCATATGCTTAAGATACTTCTCCCTTGGCGCATCAGTCTTCAACTTAGCATACGCCCAACAAATAATGCCACCTGTAAATAGACAAATGGCAACTTCAAAACTACTATCCGGCACAGTGCCAGAATTGACACACGAGTGGCACAGATCCAGCATGCTGTACACGTGTGCCATAGTTGTATTCGCCATCTCGCTATTCGCCCAATGCTTGAGATTTTCTTCGGCAAAGTCGCCATCGTTGGTATTGTTGGATCGCCCGGCGACGAGGTGCATGTCCGAGAGGCTGACGTCGAGGGAGATGTAGGCGAGCTTTTGAAGAAGGGTCGCTGAAACGCTTGTTTCGGCCGTTAGGTAGCAGTCACCCCAACTGTCGAGGCCATCTACGAGCCACCTTCGACGTTCCCTTAGACTCTCACCGACAGGAAGAGCAGAGGCCCCGAAAGCGCCCATTAGTCCAGTTGGATTCATCATAGATGTTGATTGACGCCATTCAAATATTTGCGTCTGAAGGGCGTAAAGCAGAATAATCTTTCCGAGTTCACCTCCTGTCTTGGCGATTGGAGAAGCTGGCTTCATGCGTTTACGGAGGAGACAAGCGTTCAGAGCATGCAAAAAGTATGTCACAGGTGGCCCATCAGCCGCACCAACAAGCATCCTCCATGATTCAGCAGTGGGCGATTCCCAATACTCTTCTGGACAAGGAAAGACGCAATTTGTCGTTTCTGCTTTACTGATGTACGGCTGGTTGTTAAACAACGCTGGGAACATACAGTCATAGACCTAGACTAGTCAGTCTAATTCCCAAATAATTCAAGCAGAAAAACATACGTAGATAGACATCCCAAGTCTCTTCTTCTTCTCATTCTCTACCCACGCCATCCAAGCAGCATCGGATGGACTCATACTCTCGCGTTGGAAGTGATTAACTTCCACATTAGCCGACGGACGGCAGTCCAAGAGCCGAGCTCGACGAAGAGCAGTAATTAGTACACCTCTATTCCCTTCGGAGAATTCGTACGCCGGTTTGCTTCCACTCCATGTACCAGCCAAGCAGAGTAGGAAGTATGTCAGGATGTTGTCGGCGGATCGAAGCTACTTTTATCAGCTGGTGTAATCAAATAAGATGCGGGAACTTACATATTTCTCATCTAATTCCTGCATACGGAAGCAGGCAATCCTGAGATGATCATAAAAGAGACGACAGAATCGACCTCTGTCCATCCGGGAATGCCCCGAGCCAAGGAACATCATAGCAAGAAGAAGCAGAGGAGGGCTGCGATATATATTGAAAGTAGGAAGATGGACAACCGGAAACCTCGGATGAACGAACCTGATATAGAGGCGAAGGAAGAAATCCAATACATCAGTCGGTGGAAATATCACATCGGCAATCTCGGCACGAGAGAGCTCATTTCTGCCGAATTGGGTTCCGTCCAGAACGGTCAGCAATGTCTCCCGAAGGGAATCGTTTATATGCTGGAAGGGATGAATAGTTGAGGCCGTGAGTCCAGCTCCTCTTGCTTCATCAAGGATAGGCTGCCATGAGACAGGTATAAGATGAAGCGGAACAATGCGAGGAGCACGACAAAGATTATGGGCAGCATCACTCTCACCAGCCTTGTCAGGCCAGTCGTTCGTCTCTTCATCCTCGGCATCAGCAGCGTCAATGGGGTGGACTTCATATTTCTGATAAGGGACATAGTGATATGGATCACCAGGGAAATCACCCACACCTTTCTCCATGTCGTAGTGTGGAGAGTTGTCAGTGCCGAAAGTGTTTAGAGACCAGGAGATATCAGCATTATATGTACCCATATATGCGTTGGCGTTGTCTCCGTAAAGCATAAACCCACCCCAGAGGTTTGGGTCGAAGGTCTCGGATGGTGTGAATGTGAAGGGATATGGTTCCTGCGGAGCCAATGCAGCTTCCATTAAGCTTGTAAGACCTTGAGACGGATTCGGAGGTCCCTGCAGCAGAGCGGGGGCTTGGCCGTTAAGCCCTTCATGTGGCAGAATATTTTGGTACCCAGCATTAGGATGCTCGATAAAGATATTTTGATGTTGTTCGTGATAGACGTCGTTAGGGAGACCATTCAACAAAGCACCACTTGAGTGGCCATTGGAGATTATATTGGGATCGGGTTGGCCATTTGCAAGGCCATTCTGATGATGATCTTGAATGAGAGGAAGACTTGTTTCTTGAGGCATCGACCGTCCACCATTATGCACCTCTGGGTCATACCGCTGGGTATCCGGCTGGGGCTGCGGTGGGGAGGATGAAGTAGGTTCAATCTGGGTCACGTGCTGTTTTGTCGACCCCTCATGAATACGCCGGTGGCGGTTGAGCAAGTCACTTCTGGTAAAGCGTTTCTTGCAAATATTGCAAGCAAATTTTCCCATCTCTTCATCTAAAAAAAGAAACAAGCATCAGACATGAGGTGGACGGTGAAGAGGGGTTGGAGGAAGAGGGGGGAATAGATGGAGCTTACGATTGGCCTGGTGCCGTGTGAGATTCTCGATGCGGCTGAAATTCTTGGGACATCTCGGACACTGGAAGCGCTGGCCGGCAGGAGCAGCTTTGACGGGCGATTTACTGTTCTTTGCGGGCTCTTTGGGCTGTTTCTTGGAGCCATTGGGGCTATTGGTATTGATCTTGGTATTGGTATTGGTATTATTGGGTGCGGAAGGCTTGCTACCGGTATTGCTGTTGTTGGCGAGACTAGAGTCGTGTACCGCAGGCACAGACACAGACCCAAATCCATGCCTATTATTGACTTCCACCTTGACGGGATGCATATCATGGTGGTGGTGGACGATGCCATGAGCATGTGCATGGCCGTTGCCATAACCGTTGCTCACCGGTATCCTCGATGCCGTCTCCATCCTGTTCAGTGGGCTCGTGGGAGGACTAGAGATCAGAATAGAAATAGAAGAGTAGTGAGCATAGCACAGTAGTGGACGAGTAACAGGATCTGATTAGGATTGTGAGACTCCAAGGTGGACTCCAGACCCCAGAGCAGTGAGTGGAGTGAACGCTGACGATTGGGTGGGTGGGCAGGCAATTGAGGAGGTTGTGTCGTCTCGGTCGTCGTTGCATAAACGCGGCCTTGTGGACGGATTGTGGACGTGACGTTGACTCCTTAGCGGGTTAGTAATTAGTAATATAATAGCTAAGGTAATAAGCTAGAGAGAGGTTACGACAGGACAACACTTCCATAATAAAGCCATCAAGTCTGTAAACTTGTCACAAATTAGATTAGAAATCAGATACGATCTAGCCATCACCCCTCTTCTTATTATTCAACTAAACTCGGGGATCGCCATGTTGGTGGCGTCAATTCGTGCTTGGACTTGTTCAAGAGGGGCAGAATTCCCGACCGAATTGATTATCCCGGTCTATGTCGGAAGGACGGGTACAGGGTGGGGTATTGTTATCAAACCGCATCTTTCCAAATTTATATTGTGTAATTTGCCTATAGTACTCGAGTAGGCTTGTACGGATTGTAAGATTACAAAGTAATAGCCGCAAACGTCTCTAATTCCAGTAAAAGGTTCGGTTATCTATTTCAGAACATTTAGGATAATACGGTAAGTATATGTCTTCTGTTTCCTTATTCATATCCTAGTTCTGGGAGAAAAATGCTTAGCTAAATTGTATCTTATCTTCTTGAAACTGGATCCATTGATATATACAATTGACTACGACTTTGAGTATGAGTACGAGTACGAGTACGAGTACATAGAACCCCCCAAGTTACAGTATGATTAGTATATTGCTCTAACCTTAATACAATACATCAAACCATCCACCCATCTATCCATCCCCAGTCCTCTATTCAAACTCCCCATCAACACTCTCAAACGTATCCAAGAAGCCCTTGAATATCTTCACTCCCAACCCAGGATCCAAACTTCCAGTCGTAGCTCGGATAGAATGCATGCTCAGCTGCGGAATACCAGCATCAATAGCCCTAACACCCATCGCAGAACTAAGCATTGGTCCCACAGTTCCCCCGCTTCGCGAATCATTCCGAATCATAAACAGCTGCAGTTTGTTGTCCGTCTTCTCCGCAACTCGGGTAAGGACAGCAGTGGAGACAGAATCGGTGGTCATGTGTCCGTTTGAATCAGCAGATACCACGAGGCCGACGTTCAATCTGGGAGAGTGGCCCTCAAGGTACGAACCCAAGAAGTTGGGGTTCACGGCGTGAGTGACATCTGCCGAGACGAGGAAGGAGTTGGCGTATGTCTGAGACAGAATATTCGCGCTGGTTCCATTGCTAGACAAAGATTCGGTGATTCTCTCAATAGTGCTGGGCAAGAAATTGCCCTTTGCACCTTGGCGAAGCTGGCTGCCGATTTCCTCGTCGTCGAAAACGCCAACAAGCTTTACGATTCCATCTTCTGCAGAGGCAGACGCAGTGGAAGAAGCCAGTAGTGCTTCAATGGCGGACCATGAACAAAGCTTGTCATCAATACGACCGGCGAAGATAAACTCCTTGTCCAATCCACCAACTTGTGCGGGCTGTGTATCGTATAATTCAAGTTCCCAATTGACGATTGAAGAGTAGTCTTGGATGCTCAGTTCTCCCGCGATCGCACGTACGAGTTTGGGAGGTTGTGTTGCGGCAAATGTTCCCTCACCACCCAATGTCAAGTTCTTGAATGCATCGTCCGCGGAATGGACATCGGAATTATCGAGGCCAATGATAGGAACTGCCTGTGTCTCTGCATTGTTTTGTCCAAACATACCGAGCCCGAAGTGAGGTGCGAGAGTAGGGATTCGAGCAACTAAGACTCCATTAGCCAATGTGCTTTCCATTTGCTTGCAAACTTACTTGGCCATCCCAGCTTCACCAGCTTCGTGGCAATCTTTCCAGTCTTCGAATCTTTCACTAATACTCTTCCTCCAATTCCAAGGTCTCTGTCCCACCATGTGTTGTTGAGAGCACCGGCATATGGCGCAACACCCAATTGAACGTATCCAGCAGATGTCTTTTTGTTACTCACAGGCTTTAATCGTGCCGTCAAAGCATCGACGTGGCCTGCAATCATTGCAATTCCGTTCCCACTCTTGTATCCGCCTCCCACCGTGAATGCAATCAAACTACTACCATTTCGTGTCACGAAGTATTTGCCTCCATTCTTCACTTGTTCGTTCCAGGATGAGCGTTCGGAAAGCTGGAATATGTCAGCGTAATACTGTAGAACAGAAATAGAGATTATACCTTTTTGAATCCAGCGTTTTCTAACTTTGCCTCAAAATGTGACACAGCATGGAAAACTGTAGGGTTGTCTGTCAAGAAGTCACAGAAGGGCTGTGTATATGCCTCCGGGATCTTCAACGTGTTATCCACCCTAAATAATCCCTTCGTGATCAAGCTGCTTGGCGACTGTGACTGTATCATTTCCGCCCGTTCCCTCATGGTCTCACGGAACCTTTTCGCGCTCGCATTGTATTGCTCAAAAAGGCTCAATTGTTCATTTTCGGGTGAGACATTGTTGGCGTTCGATCCCTTGCCATGTAATCTTGTTGCACCGAGGATTGGAGGGTCCGTAAGGTCGGCGCGTCCATCGGCCCTGTTATAAGACATCCTTCCCTTTTCCGTGGGCTCTCTTATGGGCAGATAGGCAGAGGGGTGTGGAGGTGGGAACGACTGAGGAGGAGGAGGAGGAGGAGAGCTCGATTGTTTCTTTGCTGTGAGCGAAGCAACCTGCTCTTCGAGTGCGGCGATCCGTTGGCGAGCTGCTTGTTCTTGGAGGGAGCTGGTGCTGACGCTACCGCGGAGAGAGTTGGGGTTGTTTTTGACCATGCTTGGGGATTATGTGAAGTTTTAGTTTATGTTTAAGGTTGAGGAAGTAGGGAGAAGTGGTGACAAGATGTTGTGGTGATGGAGCTTGTGTGGGGTCGTGTGATGATGTTGATCAACAGTTGATGAGCTTGGCGTTCGCATGGCTCATGCACAACGTGTACACAGCTTCATATTAACATCAGTCAGCAATCCATAGGCTACTTTTTATTATTTGTTATGTATGAAATATTTCAAAGTACTGTACAGTATTACATCTCTTCACATGTGCGTTTTACTAGTCTGTCACGGTTCGCGGCAAGAGGTTGTACTTCAATACGGTCAAAACGCTATGATTTCATTTCGTGTCGTGGATATTTCATTGACCATAATCCATATGCTGCAAAAGCCCATGCAGGTATGCCCGAGTCACCTCTCCATCATCATTTCATGTGCAAAGGTCATTTGGGAATTTCTCAATACAACGCTCTAGTAGTTGTTGAATTGTTGGGGAGCACTGTACTGGTTTCTATTGGAATCCGTCAGTATTCATCTTCACAAAGGTAGTCCGAGACGACTTACGGGTCGTATTGATCAGCACCCTGGTTCTGGATGTAGTGCTCATCATACAAGTTCTCAGCATTTTCCTTGGCGTGTCTCTTGGCCTTCTCACGGTCGACGAAGTCCAGTCCCTTGGTCTCAGCGAGCTTGTCGACTTCAGCACCGGCGATACCGACGAGGAGTTCCTTGGCGAATTGGTGGGATACTGGCTTCCCTGAAGGTCAAGGTTCAGATGTCAGTATGTCTTTCGTCCTTCAAGAACTATGTTTCTAGTTGGGTGTAGAATGGGTAGAAGGGGAGGGGGGTATTTACCCTCTGAGCGCTGTCTGTCCTCAAAGATCTTGAATGCACCGAAGGAGGCGGCACCAGCAAGAGCCTCGTGGCCGAAGTTGGATTCGTTTGCGTCGCCATTCTGGACCTGGTTGTAGGCATTCTCAGAATCTCCTAGGTAAGCAGCATGTCAGCATAGCTATTGCAACCTGAGGAAGGTAAGCGGGGGAGGAGGATGCCAGAGTAGAACTTACCCCATCCGAAAACCATTTTGACTGATTGAGTGGGTTGGGCTGGTAAATTTGGGTGGGTTTGGTATGAGTGGCTGTTGTGTTTGTGTTGATGCTGATGTTGATGTTGGGAGTGTGGTGTGGAAGGAAAGGGAAGAGGGGAGGGGCAGGAAGGAGGGGTTCATATATAGCTCAAGCATCCCCATCGGTGGTGAACGAATGTGTCAGGAATCATTAGTGAATCACTCCACCTGTCCAACAATCAACCATTCACAGTCTCACGATCCCAGATTCAGGGCATCCAGGATCCCCCACTTGCATTGCTCTAACGCTTCTAGCCCAACCGCGGACCTCAAGTTGCCCCTTATACACCAGTGGCTTGCGTGGCTCGGATTCTGCTTCGAAACAATTCATGCTTTCTGACTGTTCATGGCGGCAATTAAGACGACTGCTATACGTTTCAGATACGGAGGCATGGCTGCTCTAGTTGGAATTCAGCTGGTCAGGGCATAGAAACATACAAACGACTCGCCTGTCATTGGAGCTGTGGGGTGGGGTAAGCTTCAAGAGCTCGTATCAGGAACACAGTTCGCAGAGTGAAACAGATCATAACATCAGGATTAACGTCTCTTGACAAAGTACTGTACTGTACCATTTGAGCGTTAGGATGGACCTTGATAGTTTGTCTATTTATTCATGCTTCTTAACAAGCCAATAGAAGAAGTGTGAGCTCAGAAAGAAAGGCTTAAACTGACCCCACCCTACGTAAATATCGCCATCAAGATCAGCATCGCATCATAAGCTTCATGCAAAGCACTTCCAACGGTACTCAGACTCTCTAATGTCGGCCGAAACTAAGGATTCTGAAGTCAGTTTGATTATGCTTTAGCATCCACATGCCCACAGCCAGTCCATCACAGCTGAAGCTCAACGCCTGGAGCTTGAAAGAACGTAGGTAGCGCATAACTCGGCCACGGCGGGCCGACAGTCAAGCTTTCGCCCAGACCAGATGTCTTGGCGGCTATTAAGCGAAGGCTTGTACTTGTCCTGAATTTCTACTTAGGTACCTACTATAGGTATACACGTGATTATCACCAGAAAATAACATCACGAGATATACAATATACAATATACAATAAATTCAACAACAAGAATAACTAATCAACTCCAGAGCAAGAACAGGGACAAGAGCAAGAGCAAATATACATATTGCATTGCACAACTGTCTTCTGGAAATGGCATCATCCTCACAATCACAGCCCCGTCTCCCTACCCCCTCAGACTTCCCTCCTAACCTAACGCTCTCCATCAACCCCCCCACCACGGGGTCCCCAGTCAACATCCTAATACTCCTCCACGGCCTCGGCGATACGCACACCTCCTTCACGACTCTCGGAAAATCTCTCAACCTCCCCGAAACAGTCACTATATCCCTACGCGGTAAAGCATTTTTTTCTAACAAATTCCTCTATTATCATATTATCATATCATATCCCTTTCCTTCCCAGTCACGTAACCCCACCCACACTATCAATCTACTCTCCGAACTGCTATTTAATCAGTCACCACATATACACGAACACATAAACTTACTTTGCTTCACCACCTAACTTCACACCACTAACACCCCCCACCAGCCCCAAACCCCATCCCCCCCATATTCACCGGCTCATCCACCCCCTCCTTCCACTGGGGCGATGACATCCTATTCGACGAGTCCAAAGGCACCATCGACCCCGACGGCGGCTTCACCACCACCCGCAAAGTCCTCCTCGATCTCATCATAAAAGACGTCCTCATAGAAAAATGTCACTATCCCCCACGCAACATCCTATTCTACGGATACGGGCAAGGGGGGATGGCTGCCTTAACTGTAGCCGCATCTGTTGCCTCTGGAGACGGGGAAGAGCTGGAATTTGGCGGTGTAGTTAGTGTAGGAGGCCGCTTACCTGCTTCAACTTCATCTTCGACAGCTGGTTCTGGGCAAGGCAAGAAGGGCAAATGTAAAACCCCGGTGCTGCTCTGTGGTGGTAGTAGAAGTCGCGAAGTTACGCGGCAGGCGGTCGATGCGCTGAAAGAGCGATTTAAGGATGTGGAGTATGTGAAGTGGGCTAAGGAGGGGGATGGGATGCCGGGGAGTCGCGAGGAGATGTTGCCGATTATGAGGTTTTTTGCCAGGCGGTTAAGGAGTAGGGCGGGGGTGCCGGAGGGGGCTGTTGAGGTTTGAGAGGGGGATGGGGATGGGGATGGGGATGGGGATGGATGGATGATTAGATGACTTGTACGAAAAGAAAAAGGCGAAGGCAAGGGCAAGGACAAGGGAATTTGGTAGATATAACATACAGGAGGGAAGCTTCTAGGTTAATCGGAATGGAAACCTGGTAGCCCGTTATAGGTGAAATGTATGAATAAAGCCGTTGAGGCTCTCTGGGGTTAGTCTGATGTAGCATTCACGTCTTGAGATATAGACGCTATGGGCATACCACCCGGGTTCGAAGCTGGATGGAGAGGATAGCTAATACAAGCATCTAGAAATGATATGCTTTGATTATTCTACTTCTATTTTATCTTCTTTCCCGCCCTCAAGAGTCTCTTCTGTCCCTTTCTCTGCAGCTTCAGCATTCGCAGTCGCAGTCACAGCGATAGCTTTATCCTTTTGCGCCTGTCTCGCTGCCTTCTTCAACTGCCTCCTGCTAATCCCAATCACCTCCCCTCCCTCCTGTCCCTCCTCCGTCCTAATCTTCACCACCCACTTGACCCTCGCCTTCTCCTCATCCTCCGCACTCCACTCCTGCGGCAGCACCGCAAACACAAGGTAACTTGTATGCGTTTTGATTTCAGGTTCACACCTATGCACCAGATTCCCCTCCTTGTACACCTTCCTCTCCACTAAACTCTCGAGGATCTTCTCGCGATTATTAGGATTTCCCTTATCCTTCTTCCCCTCGACCTTCTCGCCCGTCTCATGGAACGTCTTGAACGTCCCCTCGACCTCAATTAAACGTGCGAGCGCTTCGTCTACCGATGCTGGTGTTGTTTGTAGACCGCGCTGTGCGCCGTTGTCAATGCCGATTCGCTCGCGACGTACTTCGAAGCGCTTCTGTGATAGTTCCACCATCTCGATGTCGACCCAGCCTAGCTTTCGCATGGCGGAGATGGTGCGCTGGACTTGTTCGATGCAGGGGGAGAATGTGCAGAGGTGCACAGGCTTGGTAGGGTTTAGAGCCGAGAGGAAGGGGGTTGTTGAAGCTTCAGCCTTGCCGTTCGCAGCTGGTGTTCCTGCTTCTGAAGTTCCAAGGGATGCGTTTGGCGGAGAGGATCGTGTTAGGTGTGGAAGAGCAAGCCATGGAGCTGGGAGATCTAGGAAAATAGCATCTGCCTTTGGACTTTGGTCCTCGACTAGGAAACCATCCTCGCAGACATCTCGATGGGTGATCTGCACAACCCCGTCTAATCCATGCTCTTTTATTTCCTCCTCCAATTTCTGATGCCTCTGTTCGTGGAACTCAAAACTCCAGACTTTGCCTAGCTTTTCCTCTTTTGAAGTGCCATTGACATCAGCTTCCCTGGGGTATCCATGGAAAACAGCCCTCGCGGAAGCATGTGTAAATGATCCACTGCCCGCCCCAGCTTCTATGATACTCGATCCAGGTCTTGCGCGTATTCTATGAAGAATATAACTGTAGTCTGGAGTATATACCACCTGTGTTCGATGTGGTAAAGAGCTCGTCCAGTTCTCCGGTGTGGGTGGAAGCAAATGTATAAAACCACTCGAAGCAGTCTCCGCTTCCTTCTCCTCCTTTCCTTCTACCGGCGTACTAATAGCAACGTCCCCGTTCTCAGAGTCGCGCCTCTTATTTGGATGTTCGGTCGAGTCAGCGTCGTCTCGTTTGCGCTTCTTCTCTTGAGGCTGCTTTTTCTCCTGCTTTTGCCCGCGACGTCCTCGAGACCCTGTATCGACTTTCGAGGCTCGGACTTGGGCTCCCCACGGTAGTCCTATCAACGTGGTGTGAGGGAACGACCCAAATCGAGTATTCACAACCTTGCCCTCTGAGTAGCCTTCATCATCTTCGTCGTGGTCCTTGAGGATTGTAGGAGTTTGTAAATCGCGCTTCAGATGAACAATTGACAGGCGATCTGTCTTTGCTATTGCCCCAGGATGCAGAAAGGGCGAACTATGTGAAGTCATTTTGATTGGGTTGTATCGAAACTTTCCATCAATTTTGACGAGGCTGAAATATTTTTGAAATTCAGCCGGCCGGAAGCGAGTCCCCTCTATTTGCGATACTGTACCGTACTGTACACAAGACAAGACAACCTGACTCACATCGCATCAGCCCTACACAATCCGACCAACTCTCCTTAAAGAACTTGCGCAGAGACTGATGCTCTATCTTTCTTCATTTCTGCGCATCTCGGCACCAAAACCCATATATGTTTCTGCTTTTCGAACCTTTAAAACTACCGCCAACTCCACAATGGCGCAATTGAAAGTCCACAACTCCCTGAAGCCTGGTCCTCCTGTGCCCTTCACGCCCAAGGAAGAAGGAAAGGTGGCTTGGTATGCCTGCGGTCCTACAGTCTACGATCATTCCCATCTGGGACATGCGCGGAATTATGTCTCGACGGATATTATACGCAGGATTATGCGGGATTACTTTGGGTTCAAGGTCAACTTTGTCATGAACATTACAGACGTTGATGACAAGGTGGGTAAACTAGATATTTAGTTTTCAAACTCTTGCTGATTTCCGTAGATTATTCTGAAAGCCCGGAGACAACGATTGCTGGAATTGGAGAAGTCGAAGAATTATACACCAGAGGTGCTTTCGAATCTCGCAACTACCGCATTCCAATCCTACGCCCAAGGCAACCTTCCAGAACTCTTAAAAGATGGATTTGAACTCAGCCCGAACAACTATGCGGAGAGGAGAGATGCTATATATGGGAAGGTGTTGGCTGGAGGGACTCTGACCGGAGAAGGCAAGCCAGGTGATGATGAAGCCAAAATGAAGATGCACCTCAACAACCTCACATCCGCGTCAGTAGCAATACAAGAAAACAAAGTGCTTGGAGGGGCAGATGAGATACTGCTGCCGTACCTGGACTCGCTTTACAAGGATTCGATTGATGGAAGAGACCACAAGATATTTACGGATGTCACGAAATACTGGGAGGACCGTTTCATGGATGATATGGATGCTTTGAATGTCATGCGACCAGAAGTTATTACACGGGTTACAGAATATGTACCTCAAATCGTCGATTTTGTCAATGAGATCGTCAAGAAGGGCTTTGCATATGAAGCGGATGGCTCGGTTTACTTTGATATTGCAGCATTCGAGAAGGCTGGCAATCCGTATGCACGATTAAGACCAGAAAGTCGGAATGACAAAGCATTACAAGAAGATGGCGAGGGCTCACTTTCAAAGAACTTAGGCGGCAAGCGGGGCGCTGGTGATTTTGCATTGTGGAAGAAATCGAAAGCTGGGGAACCAGTATGGGCAAGTCCATGGGGTGAAGGTAGACCTGGGTGGCATATCGAGTGCTCGGTGATGGCATCAGATATCCTTGGTTCGCAGATGGATATCCATTCGGGTGGCATTGATCTTGCGTTCCCTCATCACGATAATGAGTTGGCACAATCCGAGGCGTATTTCTGCGAGCATGGAAAGGGGCCCCATAGTTGGGTCAATTATTTCTTGCACATGGGCCATTTGTCAATTGCGGGGTCGAAGATGTCGAAGTCGTTGAAGAACTTCCAGACTATTAGAGATGCGCTCAACACGGATTATACACCGAGAGGGATGAGGGTTGTTTTCTTGTTGGGGAGGTGGAACGATGGGGTTGAGATCTCACCAGATATGAAGACAATGGCGGAGAGTTGGGAGGCAAGTGTGAATGTAAGTCCGCCACAAAAAATATAGTATCCCTCACTGACGGTAATAGAACTTCTTTATTGTTGTGAAATCTCTTATTGCCGAGAAGAGTGCAAATGATGCTCTCAAATCTCTCTCTATTGATGAAAATGCCCAAGATGGACTCCAAGCAAGCCTTGAGTAAGTAAGCTCCTTATATGCCTACTTTTCCTTTCAGGAGTGATGGTTTGGAGTCGATTGCCCTTGGAATTTTCTCACTTCTCACAACTCCTACGGGACATTATTCGACCCCGAAAAACCTACCTTATCAGACAATGCTGACTCGAAATTCTCACTCTAGAAAAGCACAAAAGGAGATGGAGACTGCACTTACAGATTCTTTTGATACCCCACGAGCGATGCGAGTTTTATCTCAACTCATCACGGAAGCAAACACCAATGCACACAAAGCAGATGCAGACGTACGGGGCCTTGAAGCTGTAGCACGTTGGGTGACTAAAATAGTCGGGATATTCGGGTTGGACGCAAATGCAAAGCCACCATACACTGGCTTAGGTTGGGCTAGCAGCGCGGCCAGCGCCAACATATCCCCGCAAGAAACTGTAGCGCCTTTCGCTACTGTGTTCCAAAAGGTCAAGAGCGAAGTCGAGAGTCTAGCCCTTCACTCAGAAACTCTCGACAAGCTTCTCGCCGCAAACGTCGACAGCGAATTCGAATCTCTAGCGACAGCAGGCTCAACCGACCCCGAAGCACTCGTCATGCCATACCTGCGGACCGTTTCAAGGATCCGCGACGAGATCCGAAAGCTAGCTCCCACATCCCCATCCAAAAAACAGATTCTTTCCCTCTCGGATCAAATCCGCGACGACGATCTCACGAATCTAGGCGTCTATCTCGATGATCGTAGCGAAGGCCAAAGCGCGCTCATCAAATTCATCCCCAAGACAGAACTACTAGCCCAACGCGAAGAAAAAGCAGCCAAAGAGCGGGAAAAGGCGGCACTGAAAGAAGCTGCGCGCTTAGCTAGGGAGAAAATAGAGGCTGATAAAGCGGCCAAGGCAAAGGTTAGTCCTGTTGATATGTTCCGAGACGAGAGGTTCAGTGCCTGGGATGAGGATGGATTGCCTACGAAGATGAAGGAGGGGGAGGATGTTCCCAAGAGCGCGCTGAAGAGAATGAAGAAGGACTGGGAACGACAGAAAAAGGCACATGAAGAGTGGAAGGCGAAGGAGGCGAAAAGCGGGATATAAGAAAAATCACTAGTGGGAATGGGAAAATTTTAGGAGCATAATGTGTGTTTGTGTGTAATACCCGTATCTGCATCTCTAGAGCTCATCACAATTAGACATAGCTTTGCCTACACATTATGGTGTTACATGGGAGCTCGTGCCATCCGTCCAAGTCAGCCCGAGGTCCTCTACAAAATCGATCCGTAGGTTCGGACAATATGGTAAGGATTTTAATCTTGCAGAAGCCTCGCATCTCTCTCCATGAAGACAGGACGAGCTTGAGGAATTGAAGGCTAGGTACCCAAGGTATGTTACTCACGTGCTTGGTAGGTACAATGTAAGATTACGAGGGTATTCAGGTGGGGCACCCCGCGCGCTAAAGAGGCTAAACATCATCCAACCTCAGTTCTTAATGTAAATCTTCTCCTTTCTTCAATTATGAGTGCGTGCGAATGCGGGGAACTTTGTAGAAAGAAGAATGGGGAGACTATGTTTAGTTTAAGTTTCGTCTTTCTGTGAAGCGTTATACTCGCTGTCCTTTTCCTTCATACTTTGCTCTGTGTAAGTTCAGCTCAAGGGTAGTAGTACTCCCAGCCCGTGAGGCTCTATTCAGTTCCATTCTAGCTATATCAAGATCACGGGTAGCGCTTCTTGGAAGCAAAATCTCATGTGGGACGAGGGAGAGCTCAAAGCAAAAGGAGTCTCGGTTGGCGAAAGAATTCCTGCCTAGCCACGAGTTATGCATATGCTTCCATATTAATACGAAGATCGGCGTTGATTCATGAGCGTACAAAGACACTTCTGGTGTTCCACATATATCTGTCTGGTTGCACAAGAGAAAAGGTTCGTATACCCGAGATCGGCTTTCGTTGCCATGCAATGCTGCCAAGATCAGATGCATGATGCATCCCATTGCAGCCGTCGCCGGCCAAATGAAGCTACATGTCTCTGCAGCTATGAGTAGTACTCGAAGGAGTATTCGAAGAGGGATTTCGACTGTTGGCCTAGATGCTGAAATCGACTTCATTTGCGTACCAGTAGAAAACCCCTGAATCTCAAGTAAAACATGATGACACGAAAAGTGGACTTGACCAATGAAATTCAACGATAATCAGGGGTTCGGTCATCATTTACTTATCCGGTACATGGTTGCTTCAGTAGCACTTAAATCCCCATCGAGTCATGAAAGTCGGGGAATGCCTGACTGGTTCAGCCTCAACTGTTTACACCAATCCAGCGTTCGAAATTATCATACGCCACGTTTTCCGGACCCAATGACTTGGGCGTTTTATCCATGCCGGACAACCGTTCTTTAACGAGCCATGGATATCCTTGTAACGTCTGGGCGCCATGGCATCGACGATTCGACAGGCCACAATATTCTCCATATCTCGTATTGAGTTCATGTTGACCTCACATCATTCCGGAATCCGGGGTCTTTCTTATCCGTGCCATCAGGATAATTTCTATACCAAATAATCGGGGGGATTTCAGGTATTTCTCTATTTGCCATACAAAGAGACTACTCTGGAAGCATCAAAACGTTTTCAAAGCTTTCTCGGTGTTTGGCTTCAGGATGCAGCTCCAATCTTTTTGCAGCATAGCCTTGGCGACTTTTGCCTGTATCGAAATAGTCAACGCTGGCTTTCCTATTACAGGTATGGTTAACGCCCCTTTCCCATCCTTAAATTGACATCGTATTATAGGTGTCCAGACGGGAATGCAGAATGGGTCCGGGCCTGCACCTCCAAGACAAAACATCCTCGATCTTTACAATGACCAGATCCAGTTGTATGTGTGCTCCGAGCGTGATGGAATTCTACTAACAGGCCAGCTCGCTATATATACAAGCCTTGAATTCCTTTCAGCAAGTTAATGAGAGTAACTTGACTTCATATTTCCAGGTGGCGGGTAAGGGTTCAGTGTGATGCACGAGTATCAAAGCTAACTCACTAGAGGTATTCACGGAAGACCTTATATTGCTTGGGATGATATCGGATCCGATCCTACGGGCACTCAGAATGGTATCCCAAGTGGGTATTGCCCGCATGGAAACACTCTGTTCCCTACGTGGCATCGTCCTTATCTCGCGCTCTACGAGGCAAGTAACTCGTCATCGCTTTGTACAAGCTTTCTAACAATCATGCAGCAAGTATTAGCCGGCTTCGTTCAGGCTGCCGCCAAAGCCTATAACTCGACGACTTATCAAACAGCGGCAGATCATTTTCGCATTCCCTTCTGGGATTGGGCCGCCGTTGATCAGCGATTCCCTGATGTCATGACCTGGCCAAGTGTTAGCATCAACACTCCAAACGGGACACGGAATGTTACGAATCCTCTTTATCGATATACCTTCTTGAACCATCCCGAGCCTGCTAACTGGTTTCCTACCGATCAAGAGACCTACCTTGGATCACAACCATGGACCATCAGACAACCTGATGGAAACAACGTGTCTGATGAAGCCGCCATGGAAAGTCAATTTGTGCAGGAGGGGCAATTCTTATCAGATCAAGTTGTAAGTACGTCGAGTAGTGAAATAGTTCGGATCTGACTAGCTCAGTGGTCAATTTTCGCAAAAACGAGAAATTACAATAACATGTCGACTACCAGCAATAAAGGAAATGCATTTGAGGGTCCTCATGGAACTGTACACGTACTAATTGGAGGAGATGGTCATATGACCTATCTATCGTTTTCCGCATTCGACCCCGCATTTTTCCTCCACCATGCCAACGTCGATCGCCAGATTGCCATGTGGCAAGCAATCTATCCCGGCGAATGGCTCCAACCCGAGGCTGCTGCTTCCGGGACGTGGACCATATACCCAAACACACAAATCGACGAGACTACACCCCTGGCGCCGTTTACATCCAGCGATGGAAAGACGCTGTATACACCAGCTACATCTCGATACACACAGAACTTCGGCTACTCGTATAACGATGCTCCATATTGGCAGCTCCCGAACTCGAGCGACCTTTCGGCCAATGTGACAGCGAGAGTCAACCAGCTGTACAACGGCGATGGACACCTAGGAACCTGGCCTGCGAAAAGATCAATAGGGGTCGGAGGCAGCGGTCTCGAGAAGAGAACTGTAGATCGCGATTGGTCTGTTGCAGTTCAGGTTCCCAACGCAGCTGTCAGCGAGCCCTTCTCCGTCGGGGTAACGGTGGGAAGTACACTTGTTGGGAAAATGTTCATCCTTCATACACCGTCGCAGATTGAACTTGATGCTGGGGTGGACCGGTGCACGCATGCGGAGTTTACTCTTAAGAATGCGTTGAGTGGTGTTGAGGCTGGCGATGTTACGGCCGTGGTGGAATATCTAAAGGAAAACTTGAGGTGGAGTGTTGTGAAGAACTCGGATGGCTCTGTTGTGGGTGATGTGGAAGGGCTGGAGGTTGAGGTCGCAGATGAGATTGTGGAACCTGCAAACGATATCTTCATGTTTCCAAGCTATGGTGACAGGACTGTCCATCCTGAGATCACGACTGGATTGTATTAAATTTTGAATATCTCTTTATTACCTATAACAGAAATCTATTCCATTCAAAGTTAAAAGGTCAACCCATATTAGCATCTAGTACTTTCTGACTAACGTTCAAATGGTATCCCTACTACCCTGGAAAATCGGTTACACACGACATATATTAACCAGCAATTGACTACACAGCTTCTTGCTAAATACTATATATAATTACTTCCCTAAAAATACTCATCTCCCTATCGGTTTTGCTAGTAATCTTATATGATGTACTATATGTACGTGCCTAGACTATAAACCTTCCTTCCTTCCCCCCTTAACACCCCACTCAACCAAAGCCCAAAAGCAATATCCCCAAATCCATTCCACCAAAACGCCAATTTCGAAACAATCCAATCCCCCTCCCCCTATTTCGAAACCCAAACCAAAAACCCCCCATCAGGCGTAGAAGGCGCCCCCTGTCCAGCAAACAGTGTTTGAGCTGACCCAGACTCCGGAATCACCTCCATCGCCCATACTTGAAAGTTATCATCGACGCCTACTTGGAACAACAGGCCGGGGATCTCGGAGTTGGACGCGAATGTCTAGTGTGGGAAGGCGAAATGTTAGTTAGGTGTGCATGTATGTAGTATCTGGCTATGGCGCGCGCTCTCTCTCTCTCTACATATACATACATAATACCTCAAACTCTCCACAAACAAGCACTGTAAGCTCCACTACCATATACTATACATACTTGCTTCCTTGCATCATCTATATGCAGTAATACAAGAACCGGACGGTACAAAAAAAGCAAAGCAAAGAAAAGAAAAGAAAAGAAAAGAAAAGAGGCCCGCTACTAACCCACTGAATCCCCTTGCCCTCATCCCCAAACAACAATAGCGGCTGCGGAAACGCATCAGGGATGCCCAGGAAGACGCCCTGCCAGCCAATGCGCCCAGTCGTCGCGTTGGCAGTAAAGGTGTTGCATTGCGGGAACTCTCCGCCTTCGTCCTCGACGGGCACGAATAGGGAGTCGCTGTTTATGCAGCCGTAGACGTGTGTGCCGTTTTGGATTTGGAGGATGCCGGGGCCGGAGGGGGAGGTTGCTATTGCTGATGCTTTGGATAGGGAGGTGGTGAGGAAGAGGGGGAGGGAGAGGAGCGTGAGAGGGGAGAAGTGCATTGTGGGTGGTTGGGATATGATTTGATAAGATGTGATGTGAGTATCTGATATGAATATCTGCTTTTAGTTTTATTGTTATTAGGAGTATACATGCGGTAAGAAGAAAGTCTCCCTCATCCTTTATATACCCCGCTCTTCGTGGAGTTACACAACTTCCTAATGCGGGGACTACATAACTTACGGTAGCGGGGTTTGACATGAAAATGTAAATTGCATCTACGCAAATATACTAGCACGCTGTACAAATACTTCATAAAACTCGGAGGTTCCGATTTTAATAGTGGTATTTTTTGAGGTACATCGGACGACGTATGAGGAAGATTCCCAGGATTTAAACTGGGCTTAAAATAGAAGGCGCTCGCTTTGGCAGGAAAGCGTTGCTTACATGCAGGTACAAATTAGTATTACCAAGAACAGCACTGGCTGAATACAGAACTGATCTGCATACTCGCGAAAATGTAAGTTCATCAATCAATTCACGTGCCTATGTTACTGAGAAAGCTATTTTATCAGAGGACAGCAATAAATGCTCTTCTAGCAATTAATACAAGTAGTGCTCATATCATATCATGTGACTCATACCAACCGACAATGAATGAATCACGAAAGACCATCAGAACTAGGTGGGCCCTTGTAAACTAATCACGCAGTATTAGCAAATCACCTTCTTTTTTAATCGCAATAATGTTGTTCAGGAAGGGAAATAAGACATACCTTTCCGAGCATAAATTCCATACCACACCGCACTGATAGTCAAAAGACCCACTAGAACCACAATAGCATAATTCATCGAAACAACCGTCACAGGCAACGCCGTCGGCATACTAAACAGCACGACCTCGAAAGTAATCCACACCAAACTGATGCAGTTCACAACAGTGCCGATAACAGGACCGCAGTTCCAGCGCGCTTGGTTGACTTCCACACGTTTGTTCCACAGCAAAGAGATGGCGATGGGGATGGCGTAGGAGACGGAGAGGGCGATGACACCAACTGAGACGAAGGCTGTAAATGCGGACGAGGAGCCAAGATTGATGAGGCCAAGGAGCATTTGCACAATTGTGACGAGCGCGAGGGCATACACTGGGACCCCGAGGTTGGGGTTGACGATAGCGAATAGCTTGGATCCTGGAATAGCATCATCTCGTGCAAAGGCCCAAGTGCAGCGGGATGCAGCATTGGTAATGGATATGGAGCAGAACATTGTAACGCCGAGAACTAGAAATGTTAGTCCCAGCCCTCCGCCTGGGGACCCCATGACGATGTGGAAGATGTAGGGCATGGCTTGGGCAGATGGTGCGGTTAGGATGTCCGTAAGATCCGGCATGGTGGCGCAGATGGGGATGATGAAGAAGAGGCCGGCGAGACCTCCTACGGGGACGCAGAGGGATAGGGCGCGTGGGACTTGAATAGCTGGGTCGGCTACTTCTTCTGCCATGCTAGAGATCATACCAATTGCACTAAAGGTGTATGCTGCAGGCAACAGGCCGATGAAGAACGTGAAGCCACCCCAGCCCGATAGAGAAGTGTCGTAATGTCCTAGGGCGTAAGCGGCGCTATGGCGTCCGACGTCTGCTTTGACGGATAGGGCAATGAGGATTATGAAGATGCTGATAAGGGTCCAGGCGGCGCAAATGGTGTCGACCATGGGGAGAAACTTGTTCCCAAACGCACAGATCACAAATGAGGCGATGCAGATGGCATAGAAGATGAGCAGGAGTTGCCAGCTCGTGGCCACAAAGTCCGGGTGGTACATGGCAACGGTTGCGGTGATCAGACTTGCGAATCCGAAATTCACGGACAACGTGATGGTCCAATTGCCAATAAGCCAGACCCATCCCGTGATGAAAGACAAGACCGTCTTGTGGCGCTTGGCGACTTGGAACGACCACTAGATCACGACGAGTTAGCTATTTCCTATTCAAGAGAATTTGGGAGATTTATAGGAGGTAGAGCATAGGAGACGAAACATAATAGAATGTGGTAGGGTAGAATCAAAATATCCGTACGTAGTAGGGGCCCGCCGAAGTAGGATACCGCGACGCGAGTTCAGACAGTGAAAGCGCGACACATTCATCCAGTACAAGAACAACCAGCCAGCCAACAAAGATAGACAGCTGTCCGCCTCCATAGATGGCGCTGATGAGAGGTCCACCTTCTCCATAAGGAATTGCAGCGATAGCAAGAGTCTGGAACAGCAACGTGAAGAGGGATCTATTGCGATGCAGTTCTGGGGTATAACCGAGCGCCGTCAAGCTATCGAGGTCGTGATGGGTGCCGGTCTCTGTCTTGGGGGCCGTGATGGTATCAGAAGGTGGAGAAGCCTTTTCGGAATCGACATCGAGGGGGGTGTTTTTCTCGGACATGGTGATCGTATTGGATTGGATTGTATGGTATGGTATGGTATGGGATGGGATTGTACGTATGGGATTGTGTTGTGGATGGAGACGGCGGGGCTTTCTCTCTCTCTTTGTTGAGATTGATTGGCGAGTGAATGTGCCAATACGGGTACGTACCCCAGATTCGGAACGATCCGATCTATGCTTACTCCGTAGGTAGATGCGTACACGTGATTGGATGCTTTGTCTAGGATAGAAGCTTTGATGCTTCGTACTTACCCCGGATCCGTATACTCAACTTCGTAAAAACAAGAACAAGTACAAGAAGGAGCAACAGACCACACGCGTATGCAATGCAGGAGAGGACACTTTAACAGGACGAACAGAAACGAAAAGATCAGCGAGTAATAAAGAGAATGATACAACGGTAATTTGGGATGCAGTGACTGTAACCGTATGCACACATCATGTACCACCCACCCCCCTTATCTTTCAAGCCTCATGCCAAGACATGTCCATGTCCCTAGCAGCCCTATCTATCACTTCCATTATTACTCCACTCTCTCTCCGCTACCACTTCCACTCCACTCACTCTCTCTCTCTCTCCTTCCACTCGCACTCACTCACTCACTGCCCCTCACTACCAACCACCCACACATACCCTCATATTCCTCTCTAATTCCACCCTTCAACACAGGAGAAATTCACTAGTTCGGGATACATAGTGCGTATTACAGTATCTACCGCAAAGATAAACTCTAAGATAGCTAATCCCAAGTCCCGGTATTGTGCTCAGGGTAGATTTGCAGTTCTTGGAATAGTTTCCGTGCATAGCTCCCAGGTGTACGGAGTTCATGTACGTCTGGTTGGTGCGCGGGATGGACCGTTGGCCTTCCGGAGACGGTTTAGCGCATACGTGCGGATGCACCTAGGCTCCGCTCCGTGTTGGAATTCAGGGGGGTCTATGTCACGTGACACAGACTCAGAGTGAAGGGACACGAGACTTTGATCGGGAAGTAGATAGATGTAAAGGGAGGTTGCGATCTAAAGATCTTTTGCAATCTGGAATCTGGAATCTGACATAGACAGATCGTTACAATCACTCTAGATGTATATCCCCATTCTTAAAAGGATGGTAGCCATCTTCTCGTTCCCCATCAAACGATTCCTCCATCTCCGCTACATCCATGCCAGCAACTATATCCCTACGCCCAACAGTTAGCATAATTTCCCAAGTACAATACATAGGACATAAATAAAAAACTTACTCATCAGTCGCCAGCACCTCAAACCCAGGAACACAATCAATCAGCGCGATAATAACATACGACCCGACAAATGACCACGTAAAGCCAATAACGGCCTCCAAAACCTGGATCCCCAGCTGCCTTACATTCCCATCAAAGAACACACCCCCCTCGATAACCGTCGCGCCATCATACGCAGCTACCTCCTTCCGCGCGAACAGGCCCGTGGCAACCGTCCCCACAAACCCACCAATACAGTGCGTCGCGAACGTATCACCGTTATCCACCCACCGCCACCTAGCAGCGAGCGCCGTGGCTTTGATGCGCAGCGCCTGGCGACAGATAAGTGCGCCCGCGACGCCAAAGCAGAAAGCAGTCGGCATGTCGATAAAGCCGGCGGAAGGCGTGATGAGGACAAGTCCTGCCAGCGCACCCAAGAATGTAGAGTCCAGCGACCACTTCCCTGTCTCGTAGTAAGTGAGACATGCCCATGTAACAGCACCGCCTGATGCGCACAGGTTCGTGACGCAGAGCGCCATGATGGATTTGAAGTTCAGGCTGAGGGTTGTGCCCGCGTCGAATGCGAGCCAAGAGTTCCAGATTATGACGAGCGCGATGAGCTGGTGCATGGAGTTTCCAGGGCCGTGAAGCTTGATGTGAGACGGTGTTCTGGTGGCGGATTTCTTGGAGCGGAAGAGCGGGTAGGAGAGGTATATCGAGAGCGCTGAGGCTGTGGCTCCGCTGCAGATATGAACTGGAGTTCCGCCGGCGAAATCGAGAACTCCCAGATTTCCCAGAAATCCATCATCAGACCAAACCATATGAGCCAGCGGACAGTAGATGAAGGTCGTCCAGAGCTATAGTAGGCAATATATTAGCTCGCCGTCTAAGATTACCCCACGGAACCCCATTCAACTTACGAAGATGAACGGAATCAACGCAACAGTTCTACCGCGCTCACAAGCACCACCAACCGCAATAGCGCAAACCGTAGCACAGAAAATGAGCTGGAATTCACTGAACAAGATAGCCGGAATCGTTCCCACGGGCTCAGCCAGGACTCCCCAATGCGCGAAATATTTCAAGTTGCCAATAACACCGGACCCCTCTCCGTACGCGAGCGAGTAGCCAATGAAGAACCATTGGATGGTGCAGCATCCCATGACGAGAAGTGAGGGCATGAAAGATGCCATGCCATTTCGACGGTGCGAGTAGCCGCTGTAGGCAAGACCGACGGCGGGGATGATGGGCCAGCAGAAGACGGTGCAGACGAGGACGAAGAGCGTGTCGGTGAGGTCACATGCCTCCCAGGCGGTTTGGACGGCTGAGGAGGGCATTGCGGTGGTGGATTTGTGATTTGGACAGGGGACTTGAAGTTGAAGGAGTGGAAGGAGTGAAAGAAGTGCTGAAAAGCATCCAGAACAAACATGCAACTGAGCGAATGAATGAATGAATTGCCATGTGAAAGAAAATACACAAATACCTCATTTACAGATTACAGTAATGTCAATAAATATTCACTCTTATCTTATCGGCAGATGGAATAGGCTTGGTGTTGGTTAATGGACCTGACTGGTGGCGGCCATGCTGTCCATATCGGGCGAAAGATAAGGCCGTGCGGATGCAGCAGAGCGGCTGAGCCATCACCAAACGGTTATAGCTCGTCCACGTTTGCGGGGTATTACTCCATTGGTCCATTTCCCTGATCATTATACGTAAGTTGGGGTCCCAAAGGTCGAATGAAGCTCGCGAGTGGGAATGGGCAAGTGAGCTGCTGCATCAAGACTCCGATGGATGACGTCCAGCTTGTGATATAGGTAGGTAGTCAATAGTTGAGCTGTACTATACCAAAGCATTAAGTATATAAAAACCTTGGACCGACAGCAGAAGTCTCGTCCGAACATGTTTCTGCAAAGAGCACCTGGCCGTAAAATCCTCCCTTTGATCAGCCCTTCTACGCCCATGATCATAATCCATCCCAATATACATCCCGAGAGCACCAAACACCTTCAAATCCATGTATAACAAGTTTCCAGTGATCATACAAATCCGGCACTCGCCAGGACGTCGTCAACATTGAGCAGAACTAAACATATAACAGCCACCATTCCATGCCTTATCCATTACTCAAAACAAGCAGCTCGCATGTGCGATATCACCAAAGTAATCCCACCAGGTTACTTGCCACGACCCCGAATTCTCGTCCAGTCTTGACCATTGCTTGTCCAGGAATGCCTCGAGAGACCTTAGGCCCTCAAAGGACAGGTAACGCGATGTCGTTCCGAGACTCTTCCGGATCAGCGTTCTCTGCTCCGGCAAGAAGCAATGCGATCCAACACAAAGCAGCGGAAATAGAATACAGTGGTGGAGCTTTTCAGTCAGATCCGTCCCACTGAGTACCTCAATAAAGCTGGTCACGACTTGCTGGACAAGAGGATGGCCGACATCAAGACCGCTGAGCGCTCTATATAGATATACCGAAGCAGCAAACCGATATACCGAGCAGAAAGCTGTCCAAGGTGCCGTTTCTGGGTTTTTAGCTTCCAACTGCCGAGCTGCTTGTTGCTCCAGGGACATCTGAATTGTAAGTAATGTGCCAATCTCGATTGTCTCTTTGGCATGACGGACTTTATGGCCCATCGTGGTAAGTTGCGATATTATCGACATGGTCTCGAGGAAGTCATCAGCTGGCTTGACATTTCCCCACCACGCCTCACAATCCCCAAAGTCTGCCCAGGAAGATGCTTCAAAGTACGGTTCATCGCCCATCAGGACGGAGTGAGTGAGGTCCATGGTAGAAAAGATCGACAGCATCAGGACCGGCAGTTCGTACTTCAGCTGAAAGACGCTCTTCATACCCGTCCACTGTTTCAAAATAGCCTTTCCCCCCACCAAATGATGATGTGTAGCAGAGTCCTCAACACTAGGTTCAATAAACCCATCCAGAATACATAGCAAAACATTAGCAATGAACAAGCTTCCATGAACCTCCTCCGTATGCGCGCCCATCAGATGCTCCCTGAAAACCCGCAACGCCCGGTTCCGACTCTGGATCGTCTGCAAGCTCACCACCTTCCCATCATAACCCACGCTCCTCGACGCCGCATGCGCATGCGCGACGGCCACCACGCTCTGCAGCAACACGGGGTCGCTCTCCAGCAGCTTCAGATCGATCGTCGGCACGGTATTCGTCAGGTTGAAGCGCGGCAAGAGCTCGTTTTCGAAATACAGCATGTGGTGATCGCTATTTTTCTGCAGAGTCGGGCCTTGGTACAAGGGGACTTTCTGGCCTGCGAATCTCCCGCGGGAAGCAACGCAGTCTGTCCATTTCAGACGCACGGCGCCGTAGTCGCAGCGCCGGTTTGTTTTGGCGCATTTCGTGCAGACAGGGAGGGATAGGTCGCAGATTACTCGGCGCGCTTTGCAGGACCAGCAAGACCCTTCGACCGTCCGGATGCGTGGCGGCATTGAGGTCGAGGTGGAGTTGGAGACATGGGATAAGCTGGGAGATGGGTGTTGTCGGCGGATGTTGCTGGACTTCTGGTAGACGTGGGCAAAGGAGGAGGTTTAGAGAAAGGCTCTGTTCTGTACTTCACTGTACCAACATGTCTTATCTTCAGCTTCAGGAATAGATAATGGACCCCACTTAACACGTGATACGGCAATTCAAACGTGTCCCGACTTAAACTCTAAAGTGAAAGCACTCGAGGCACTCCATAAATTCAGTTGTCGCATATATTTATGGCATCTTTTTGTAGGTCGGGCCATCCGCAATCATGTTGTGTTCAGGGGGTTTCCTGGTTAGGAGAAACTCGTCAGTTTTGATTATATGGATGGCAACATAAGGGGAAGCTGTGACTTATATAAGCTGGCCTAGGTTCGGCCCCGCCTCACAGATATCAACGTGGGGGATGGAGGTGAAGGTGGAGGAAATATATTCCGACGAGAATCTAGCCCAATCTGGTCATATCCACCCCGTAAATCTCTCCACTTGCTCAAGAAGCATAAAATATAAGATGGATTCATGATCAAAAGAGTTCCGAGTAAGCATTCAAAGCCAACTGTCCTCCCAGGTGAGCATAGAGCACCGTGCTCCCCTCTTCTATCTCCCCCTTCTTCACCAAATCCATCATCCCAGCAAGACTCTTCCCTTCATACACGGGATCCGTGATAAAGCCCTCCGTCTGCGCCCCAAACCGCATAGCCGTCTTTGTCATCTCGCCGGGAATCCCATAACACCCATCATGATACCTCTCATCCAGCTCCACATCCGCCTCGGTGATATCTCCCTCCTGCAACCCAATCTTCACCCCCGTGAACTTGGCAATCCGCAGCACCTGATCGCGCGTTTCTTTGGGCTTGGCACTGGCGTCGATACCGATGACTCTCCTCTTCCTCCCACCATTCTTCTCAATGGCTTTGAACCCCGCAATCATGCCCGCAAACGTGCTTCCCGTCACCGCGCACACGATAATGGTGTCGAAGAAGACGCCGTCTTTTTTCTCCTGCGCCTCGACCTCGAATGCCCAGCGTGCGAATCCAAGACCGCCGAGAGGATGATCTGAAGCCCCGGCTGGGATATAATACGGCTTCCCGCCGGCATCGATTACCTCTTGGGTCAGGTTGGCTAGTGTGGGCTTGTGCTCGATTCCAAAGGTCGAGGGATCGAGGCGTGGTGCAGCGCCCATCATGCGGGAGAGTTGGATGTTGCCTACTTTGTCATAGCCGGGGTCATTCCAGTCTACCCAGTGCTCTTGCACTAGTTTGGCCTGGAAAGTGGTGGTGTCAACTTGGTTGGCACAGAAACAAGATGCTCGCGTGATGGTTCATAGGTGCGTACCTTTAGACCCAGCTTTGCAGCTACACCAGCTACCTGCCGGGTATGGTTTGACTGTACTCCTCCGATACTAATGAGGGTATCGCAGCCCTGCTCCAGAGCTTCTGGAATGAGGTACCTAGGTAGTATTATCAAAATACTGTTCTTCACAAGACGGAAAGTGGGATAACACGCCACGTACTCCAATTTCCTAGTTTTATTCCCCCCAAATGCAATCCCAGAGTTGCAATCCTCTCTTTTCGCCCATATAGATACTTTCCCTCCCAGAGCTTCTGAAATTCTAGGCAGGTGATGGATTGGCGAGGGTCCGAAAAGGAAGTCTGCTTTAGGGATGCTAGCGAAAGGTTCTGGGAGGGTGAGGGTGACGGTCGACATGTTTGCGGTTTGCAAATGATTGGGATGGAATGGAAGTTTGATGAATTGCTTAGGGTTCAAGATTTTCTCGCTGTGTTGTTATAGAAATAAAAATTGAGGAAGGAATGAATCCTCAACTGCCGGAGGTAAGCGCGCGGTGCTTCACAACATAGCATGGGGATATAGTACCGATCCGATCTCGGGTATCAAAAGTGGGCATTCTGCGAGCTGCATACTGTGATATATGGCACGACTATTACTTGAAGGCTTCAAGTAAAAGCGGAGCGCAAGAGCTTTAACTTATTAATGCTAGTGCATCCATTACCTTTGAAGATTCTTTAAATTGGAGAAACGAGAGATGCCCATCTATACAAGTGACTCGGAAGCATCTACATAATAGTAAATTGTTTCAGTTAGCATAACGTTGCCGTAATCTTACATATCAGCTAAAGTTCATAACAGTATTTATAGGAATGATTGCGACCTAGGACTTATCGAAAATGCACTAACAAGAGAAGATTAGCATGCTGATACTATACATTTGTATGATCTAAGCCTAAGATGTAACTATAAACAAGTCTGAAGCCATATTAGTTAATTCTATAGTAAAATGTAAATATGCTGTAGTGAAAAGGTCCTAGGATAGTTATAGCAACCTTAAAGCTCGACCTCTGAAGCTTAATGTCCATATGATTCTCATAATAAGATATATAAACAAGTATCTTCCATTTGATAACATGCGGCAAGAGCGAATAATTAGAAGGTCGTTTTTAGTATATGTTTACAATTAATATCCACATACTATTTGTTTAAACCTGTTAATATATAGACCTGCGTGACTTTTAAGTTCCTTGGCCATAAGAAAAGTCTTTTAACTATAATAGCATGCTTTTAGACATTGTTTAGAGTCCTAAGAACAATCTTAAAGGTGAAGTTTGAAGTGTTTCAAGTAGAGTCGTATGGGGAGGAGCAGCTTGGATACTGGTTTTAAGGAATAAAAGTATTCTTGGAGCAATATAATGCTAAACTGTTAAGAGCTGTAAAAATATGAATCAGTAATTCAGCATGGAGGAATGGAATGTCCCATACTAAGTCCTACTTGCGAGCCTTAGATATATTAGCTACCTTATTACTCCTTTCGAATCTTAGAGTGAGAATGCATATAATGTTTGAGGGCGTTCTAGGTAGGCCGTCTCGATAAATGAAGTCTCGTGGTATTATTTCTATGGTCTGAGGAAACAACACAGTCCCTCTAGTGAGGGATTACAAAGACCAAGGTAGAAAGATGGAAATTATGGTTATTCAAAGTAGGCTAAACCCATATCAGCAATTACAAGGCGTATCTGTATTCCGACTCTGACTCTCCATCCTTCCTCCAAAACCCCTCGTCTTCGCGCCAAACAACAGAGAAGAAACCGCCCTTATAAAAAACCCAGCAACCTAGTCCTCAGCACAGATAGAAGAAGCAGCACCCGCTGCAGTCATCGCACCCATCGACAACGCAGTAGCACTAGCCTGAACAGCCGTCCCACAATCCCCCGCTGCAAACACCCCCGACACACTCGTTTCGTTAAACGGCACACCCAGCTTAATCACCCCCTGCGGCATAGTCTGCAAGCCCATCTGTTCCACAAACGTCCCATTCAGCATACCCTTCGGCTTGTGCGCGACAAACGCCTCGATCTTCCTCGTGCCATCTACGAGCCATACTTCTACTTGCGCGCCGTTCGGGAGCTTGACCAGCTTGGCGATCTTGCGCTCCTCGATGAAGATGTTGTTCTTCGAACTCGTGGCTGCGCCGGCTGTTGCGAGCATATCTCTGATGCCCTGACTGACCAGCTCGTTGCCATTGGTATAGATGGTGGCGTTGTCGGCGAGGCGTAACACGAAGCGCGCGAGGTGGGTTGCGGAGTGTCGTGGTGCGCAGTCGTCGATGGCGAAGACGCCTGCTGAGGCGCCGCCGCGTTCTTCGTAGCCGTGGCAGAAGAGGCAGTGGAAGCTGTATCGCGTTGGTTGGAACTTAGTACTGTATTATTGTTATTGGGCTTGAGGCGCAAAGACTTACATCCCCTTAACCCAACACTCCTCATACCCCTCCATCTCCAACATAACATCCCTCACCCCCACCGCAAGCACAATCTTCCATCCCCACCACTCCGCCCCCCTCTCATCCACAGCCCTAAACAGCGTCTTGGAATCTGCACCCTCACTTCCCTCCCCCCCCCCCTAATCTTCTCCACGCTCTTAATCCCCACATCCTCAAACCCTACACTTCCATAATTCTTCACCACATCCTCCCTTGCCGCAGCTCTATACTCCACTAGATCTCTATGCTCCCAGGTAGGGACCCCATGCATGTGCTTCGATTCCTGGTTCCGGAATACGTTGGACGAGAACACAATGCATTTTATCTGCAGGCGCGCGAGCCCTAGGGCGGTGGAGAGACCGGCGGGCCCGGCACCGATGATGAGGACGTCAATGGGGGAGGTGCGGGTTGTGATTTTGTAGTAGGCTGTAGATTGCTTGTTTCGAGCTTTTGTTATTGGTGGTTTGGGGAAGTTGCTGATTGTGGATAGTGGGTGGGTGGTTTTCATAAGACTAGAGTTTTTATTTAGGTAGCAAAATCTGATGTTTTTGAGTGATTAGTTTGGTTGGATTGGAGGGCTTTGTTTGTGAATAGAATGGATCTACTAATGTTGGTGACAGGAGTCTTGATTATATACGCAGCCAAGGAGACTTTTCGGACCCTTATGCTATAGTAGTGCCGAGTCAGACACACCATAGGTACCTAGCTAAGTACCCTTTAACTTTCTATCGAAGAATAGTATTTGGGTATATACTCGAGTAAGCATATACGAATCTTTGATCCACAGCGGTCAAGTGAAATTCGATTTGGTTGGTTCTCGGACACATTCATCAGACCTCGCTTAATTCACGCCGGAGACTTTGATCTAAAAGGGGCAATTCTTTGTGTATGTGTCAACTGCTAGCCGTATAGTCATATGTGAAGGTATGTTAAACCGGTTTGTTGCCTTAGCACTCATTTTGATTTCTAACCGTCTTGCTGTTTATATACAGCTATAGCCGTACCCTTCATACCCAGGTATGTAATCTTACATTACACATCATTCCCTTTATAAATATACCGGTATTACAACACAACAGCCACGCGATCATTAATAAACTCGCCGATTCTAGATAGACAGTCCATTAGTAATTGGCTTAATATGTATTAGGCGGTACAGGAATAAAGAGGTTAGAACACCTACCCAACGAGAAAAAAGCACGCCACAACCGCCGCACCACCCCACGCAATAGAGATAAAATATAGCATAGGAAAAATCGGCTTATAAAGCTCATGCGCCGCCTGCTGAACCGCCGCAATCTGCTCGGGACTATCGATATTCGGGAACAGATGCGCGTACGCGCTAAACGGGCCCGCAGCCAGGGACGTAACAAGCGCGGTGATATTAGGTGTGAGGGCCGCGGGGTCGAGACTCGTGAAAGCGAGGCCGTTTTCGATAGCTGGGAAGGCGATAACGGCTGGGTTTACGGCGCGGCGCGTGAGGTGGGTCTTGAAAACATTGTAGTACATAGAGACACCTATAACTTGCCCGATGGCGCGGATGACGATGGAGAGGGATACGGAGGTGCCAATTAGATCGTGTGGGCTGATGATGGAGAATACTATTTGGCTGGGGAGAAGGACGCCGCCAACGCCGATTAGACCGAGGACCAGGGGCGCCCAGGCTGTATTGATATTTTCGGGGTCGATGGCTGCCATGGAGCCGAGACCTGGTTGGTTTTAGTGAAGAAGAATTGCTTGATAGAAACGTCTATGGTGCTTACCAGCTGTTTGGACAATGCAGAAGAACATTAGTACAAACTGGATTTTCTTCTTGAAAATAGTCATCATGATGGCGCTAAGGACAGCACCTCCAGCGATACAAAATCCGATAGGTAGTAGGTAAATACCAGCCTGTCGATAAGAAGCTCCGTAGACGGTATAAACCTGAATAGTCCAGAACACGACAACTGGGATGTAGTTGATACCGGATGTAAGACACAGCGTACAGATGGCGAAGAAAAGACGCTTGTGCTTGACCAATTCCCACGGGAACATGGGATACTTGGCACCGAATTTCTCCCAGATGATAAAAGCAAGCACGGAGGCTAGCCCAACTGTCAAGCAGGAGATGACATGTGTAGAGTGCCATGCGTAATCCTGACCACCCCAATTAAGCCCTACCAAGAACACCGTAATGCCTCCAATGCCGAGAATCGCACCGATAAAGTCTATACGTCCGAGAACTTGCACCTTGGACAGGCCAATAGAGTTGGGTCGTTGCGGGGGCTTGTAGAAAACAAGGAGGATGAAAAACGCCACGAGAGCAAGGACGCCAACCACCAAGCCGACGTAACGCCAACTGTGCTCGGCAAGAAGCTGGCCATATAGAGATGCAGGTGCGAAAGGCAAGAAACCTATAACCACATAGCCGATTGTAATCCCACGCTTATATACCGGGACCAGTTCCGTAACCGCGGCGATCGAGGTAAGAAGTTGGATGCCGATGCTGACTCCTGAAATGGCCATAGCTGCGATCAGACCGGCGATATTGGGAGTTGTGCCTAGGAGGATCATGGAGACCACGACCAAGCAGAGACTGAGTAGAGTGATGCCTTTACGACCGATTAGATCGACAAGGGGACCGACGAAAGGTACGATAGAACCAATGGCGATAAATTGAGTGACGATTAGCCAGATGGCCTTGTCTCCAGCTCCGACATCGTAGGCCATGACCGTGAAGAGCGTAATTAGGAATAGCGGTACGACTTCTGCGATAACGAACGACAAGCTGAAACCCAGCATAGTCATGAAGAAACCGAAGGTAAGCTAAAGATCAGTTAATATCGAACCTCTGATCATTGGCAGTGATCTTTCGAGCATACTTTGTTCTCGTAGCCTTCCTCGTGTGTTGGGTACTTGTTGAACGATGTGTGATTATCCCAGGCATGATGATTGATTCCGCCATCAATGTTAAGTCCGTCGCGGCTACCCCCTTCATACTCACTGGTATGAGCCTTCTCCGCCATACTAGCATCCGAGATCGTCTCAACAGTAGCCATAGTAAATATGAAAATGTCGAGTATAAATATATCGCCAAAGAATATAAAGCAAACCTGGGAAGTGTAAGAGATATCAACTCGTCAGCGCGACAAAGGGGCTCAACCCTTCTTTTTTATAAAGATGCCTCGGGATCCATCAACTTCAGATTAACCCCTCTTTCACAAGAGGCGATTTCAATACCTACTTATTACTTGTAAATAAATTGGACGACAACAGCGTAAAGGTCCAACCCAGTAATGGTCATGCAGGGACCGCTAGCTACGCTACAAGCCGTCTTCCCCAAAACGAATGCGCCAACCCGCAACAAGTGCAATTCTGATCGGACAGTGTTTCTTTCTGAGACAAGCGCAGTGCGGGGAAGTGGGCGTATTGCATCCGAGGCTCAACACCGTAGAAGGAAAATACAAGTACGCTGTACAAAGTCTCATGTTCATATTCACACGCTACAGTATGTGAACTCTAAGATATGATGCATCGCCCGAGGCTTCAGAACAGAAGATAAGAAGAGGCCACCAACGTGGGCGTTGTTTCGAATAGAAGAGAAATTGTGGCGCCCAATTGATTGTACTACCACGTAAAGCAATCGTTTGTATTACGCAGGGAAGGCATACCTGTCCTGTAACGATTAATCAAGCGTCAAAGAGATTTCCTAAGCCAGCCATACAGTGCAACCTTCACACAAGTCAAGTAACGATGCTCAGATTGCAAAATCACAGGATAATGTCGCTGTAACTAGTTGCACAAAGCTCGGGTACCTGGTGTACCAACCATCTGGGTGTACAGCATAACACCTCGCAAGCATTCCCCGAAACAGTTAATATAGAGTACTCACTCGCCCTATGCACTAAGAGGAGAGGCTTGCAAACCCCTGCAAAAAAACACCTCGGCAGCTTTTTCGTTTGCAGCATCTGCTGTCAAGATAAACTCAGCGAGCGGGTGGCCGTGGCCGTGGCGTGGTCCCTTTCCTCGGGAATGTGATATGACCCCGCCAGACCAGACTAAACACATCAAGCCTAGATGCGATGCGATGCGATACGATTCGATGCGCCCCTGCCTCGGACTGTTTCATTGACTAGAACCCATGCAGTGCCGATAGGCTTAAATTGTATATATAGTATGAGGTAGATTAGAGATTGTTTGAGGGGGACGATGAGTCGTTCTGATGTTTGCTGTGGCTGGCTGTGATTGTTCGTGTCACGTTATTCAGGTTGATAGACGAGGCGACGCGCTACACTCGCCTAGGATGTCTGGTGGTCTGTGCATTCGAGGGTATTCATAACCTACTCCGTCCGTACAGTTTCTGCTTTTCTCTTTCTCTTTGTAAGTGGCCTTACTTGATAGAATTTATCTGTTGATGCTGTATCGCTTTGTGGGAGTTTGTTGTTGCTGCTTGGTTTCAGTAGCTACTGCGCTGTAGTTTCAAATACTAGCTACATGGACCGATCCCGAGGTGCGAGGTGGAGAGGTTATAGATGTTGGTCTGTAGTGGTGGTGGTTGCGTTGTATCGGGGCTCTTTAGATCGATCTGTGCTGGGGGAAAATATTGCTGGACTTGGCTTCACCTTGACTCTCTTCACTTGGGCGAGGGGTGGAGTATCACCCCTTGGCTCTTCAAGACTTCGACTCTTCTTAATGCGATTGAGTGGCCGACCACGTCTTTATTTTATCCCTATATTACCATCTAGCTTTCTCTCTCTCCTTCCTGCCCAAATTCAATCCTCGTCCCACACGCCATCTTACTATTTATCATTTCCATCTGCCATTGAGTACGTATTTCTGAATAGAGGATTCGCAGGTGGTGGATCGCTTGGCAAGTTGGCAGCGGGATGTGATAGGGGTTAATTCGAGACCTTATCAAGACTCGAGATTCATCTAGACTAGGTATGGCATTGGCGGCACGGTGGCACGGCGGCAGGTCCATCTCGATTCTACCTTTATGCATCGAGTCTCGGTCCAATGGCATATGTTGCAACGTGCTGTCCTTCCACAAATTAACATTTCCAGATCCCAAATCCACCCACCGAGCTAATCAGTGGCCTGGTTCTCGCAACTTCATGCACTATATTCTCCAGCACTTTATTATCCCCTTTCGTATCTCGAATTATTCTGGTTCGTTCTCGCCCGGCAATTTCGAGGAACCTCGTTTCGTTTATGTATGTACTAGTCTGCGAGTATTTCTATGACCCAAATTCGCTCGTAGGGTGGATTGGCTTGTCGCGACTTTTTGTGGTCTGCATGGTGGAGGTTACCTAGCGTAGGCCAGTCTTGTCCGTTTTGATGCTAAAGGAATACATTTTGGACCTTTCGATCGTTGCTTGAGCTAGTAGTCTCGCCAATTTCATAGCTGCCTTTGCGGCCATTTTCTTGACAAGTTCGTATCGTCGATGGTAGTTCTCCTTAGCATATAAGCATTGACCTCTCTTGACAGACCTCTAAGTTACCTATGCTTAGTTGGGTAGTGTCCAGCGATATCTGCAATGCGCAGATGGTATCATTCCTTCGAGCTCCTCCCTGTCGTCGCCTAGGCCACAAGGGCTTCTTCAACAACGATACGGACGTTCTAGGAAGAAGCATCTAGGTGGTAACTTATTGAGCGCGAAGAAGGCTTGGAGGCTGTCGCCGTCGCAGGGGATTCGGACCATTCCATGCAATCCACGGGTCGAAAAGAAGGGCTCGTCTAGGTGTATATAATGCTTCCTGCCCGGTTTCAATCAACGTCATTCTTCTAAATCGTTTCATGGGTGACGTAAGATGGATGATACCTTCTTTTGAACCTGTCTAGGTCGCGAGTCACTCGCATTTGTTTCTCAAATTCCGAATGCGCCAAAACTCCGAGTCCAAACCATGCAACTCGTTTCTAGAGTTGATATCCGTTTAGAGATACTTGATCCTCTTTATACCACCCCACCCCACCTTGTATTGTATCATAATTGACATGATGAATAGGGCTGAACTACTGCAGTCAGGGATGGACCGCTGTCTGTGCCTATCCGATCCAATGTTTCAATGTGTCTGATAGA